CTCATCAATATACAAGGTGTCCATAAAGTTCGTGTGCATTTAAAACAAATTATAACTTTATTTGTATTTGCGATAGAAATAATATGTAAAAAATGTTATAAAGTTTAATGTACCTAGTTTTAAGTACAGCTAAAATATCTAATGTGATTTCAGGCATTACTGTAAATCAGTTAGCAAAGTTTTTTCTGTTAACTGCAAAATCGTATTACTCTTTGTATTGCTAATGATGGAGGACATGTGGAAACTTAAATAAAATTTCAATAAAACCTTAAAAAATATAGATTTACTTCTCTCGAATCCTTTTTACAAATTATTTCTATCGCAAATACAAATAAAGTTATAAATTTTTTAAAGTGCACACGAACTTTATGGACACTCTGTACACACACACATACATACATACATATTTATATATATATATATATATATATATATATATATATGTGTGTGTGTGTGTGTGTGTGTGTGTGTGTGTGTGTGTGTGTGTGTGTGCAGTAATGAGGCTAGTCTGGTTGACCAATACTACTGAGTTGTTACTTCTATTCTCACTATGTACCCCCCAACAGAATTTGACATTAAATGACTTAACAATACACCGTAAAAGCGACCTAACCTCTCTCCCACTTGCATTCTCTCTGTTATGTATTAAACTTTCCAATCCCTCTTTTCTCATTATATGCACCGGAAACCTCAACTGTCTTTTCTTTAGGTCAAATATTAGTGACCTTTTCATTTCTATTGGCCCTAGAACTGTCATTGCTCACATGTTACGTCCATGGTATTCTCAGTGTCTTTCTGTAGAACCACATTTCTTTGAGGAGATTGTCTAGCATTTAGATGACAGATATGAGGTAACAGTTCAATACAGTTTTCTTTGTTTCTAACAAAAGTTTTTCTGTCTCTTCATACTCTGCTTAGCTTTTTGAATGCATCTTTGGCCATCCCAATACGTCTTCGAATCTCAGTGTCGCATTTTCCCTCCTCCGTTAAGCATAAGTGCCCTTTTTTTGTTTCTATTGTCTCTTGAACATCACCGTTGCTCACATGTTCGAGCCATGCTATTCTCAGCGTCCTTCTGTAGTACCCCATTTCTGTTGTTTCCTGAAGTCTCTTCTTTATCAGTGAGGTGATTGTCCAACATTCATATTTAAATTGATCTTGTTTATTGTTTAGCCAGCTGCCATCCGATCAATTTTGTGCATCGCCCGATTACTTTGAGAAACGTTTATGCAAAAACTAAACATTGATCTTCTTTGAAGAAAACGAAGTTAATATTAGCGAATTAATGATGAAAGCAAGTGAAGAAGAAAAAGGACACATTTCCTGCTTTTTATGACTTCTAATGTGAGTCTCCACCCAATGTGTATCTACACTCGCATAAAGAAATTACACATAATTTTATGCGAAATGTCTAACGTACTTTTAAAAAATTGTGCCTGACACGATCATACAAAATGCGCAAGAAATGTAATGGATAGTAACTTCGAAAGGGAATTCGGTGAGCCGAGTTCGTTGCATTCACTTTCGTACAAATACCTTTCTCCTCTAGCTATGGGTTAAATAACAAAAAACTGAGCTCTCTAGCTTTTGTTGTGAAAACTGGTCGGGCCACGTAATCCAGAGCACCAACCCTTAGACTGGTGAGGCTTTAGTCCTATACCCCAAATGTAACGTTCTGAATTTCCGTCTATCGCAATGAGCATTCTCTCAAGGAGTCCTCTTTGCCTTGAACACTCATTCGGACATAAACTCACTCCAGACCTCGCGTGGTACGCTAATATAAGATCTAGACTTCAAGCAGAGTTATTATATACGATCCATCACTAAATATCCTACAAAAATACTCGGTCTCCTGTACCGCTCCAGTAAGTATCTGACTCCTCCTACTCTGATCAACATTTACTGGGACTACCGCTGTCATATCTTGGCTGGAGTTGCCCAGTCTTCATTTTTCAGTCTAAAAGCGTCTCCGTATCCTTGTGGGTGATGAATTGTTTTCCACCTTATAGCCTCTTTCTCACAGAGGAAATGTTGAAGGCCTCTCGCTATTTTATCTCTATTTCCACGGAAAATGTTCAAAGGAACTACATTTCTTAGTTCCAAGAGTTCAGACCTTTACAGCTAAGCCTCTCTCTACTATATATAAGTGAAGCAACATTATGGCATTGGGAAAGTAACTGAAGCTGAGCTGCCAGATCAGAACTAATAATATTTCTCATTGTATTTGAAAAGGCATAGAGGTTTGGTTGATTCAAGTGTCAAAAAGTTTAGACACAGGTCCGTTTTGCCTGAGAATCAAAATGGTGGAAATGATTTTGCTTTGCCCAAGTGTCAAAAAGATCAGTGTAAGTTTTTTTTGCACAAAGTGTCAAAATGGTATACACTGGTTTATTTTTTAACAAGAAACAAAAAGTTATATATATATATATATATATACAAATGTTTGGAGGTACAAAATTTATAAATAGTTTTAAAAACAAGGAATGCATTGATTTTAATTTTAAAAGTCTCTAGGGCCCTTTCAGCCAACATCTCATCAGGAGACAATCGTTGGATTAGCGAAAAGAATATAAACGATATTGAAGAGCAAAAAGAGCAACGGCTATCCGGAGGCCCTTATTGACTATATTATTAGTAAGAAGACTAAGGAATTTCATTCCTCTAAAATCCAGGGGCCTTCTAAATGTCCGGTTTATTTGAAGATTCCCTGGATTGGGGATAGGGGTCAGGGCTTAATTAAGCAGGTTAGCAAGTCTGTTTCCGGTTGTTTCCCATCAGTTGCTTTACGTAGCATTTTTCGAACTAGGTCTGCGTTTCCGTCTTTTCGCAAGGATGTATTGCCCTACATCAAATTGAGTAATTTAGTATATGAATTTAATTGCCAGTGTGCTGCTGGTTATGTGGGGCGTACAACCTTGCATTTGGAAACTAGAATTAATCAGCACGTACCTTCCAAAATACGACTTGGTAAGATAGATAGAATATGCTATCTTCCCCCCATGAATATGGAATCGGCTATTGCTCAACATTTAGTTGAGAATATAGCTTGCGCCAAGTTGTTTAAAAAAGAGTGGTTTAAAATTATTCATACAGCCGATTCCAATAATCATTTGAAGATTTTGGAATCGGTCTGTATAGGATTAAGAAAACCTTCTCTCTGCCGGCAGAAAGAATTTATAAAGTCTCTGAATCTGTTGGGGGATATTTTATTTTAACTGTCCCTCGCTAATTTATTTACACGATTCTTTTCCCTTCCCCTCGTTACAAGTATATATACTTGTTTGTTATTTTAGTGTGTTTCCCCCTCTTTTTTGCTCTTCAATATCGTTTATATTCTTTTCGCTAATCCAACGATTGTCTCCTGATGAGATGTTGGCTGAAAGGGCCCTAGAGACTTTTAAAATTAAAATCAATGCATTCCTTGTTTTTAAAACTATTTATATATATATATATATATATATATATATATATATATTTTGGTTAACACAGGAGTCAAAATGTTTTCACGTAGCTCTGGTTTGCGCAAATATCTTCACATAGGTTTGGTTTGCAAAGTTGGTGTAGGTTTTGCATAAGCGTAAAAAAGGTAGACCGTGTTGTGTATAACGATAAATTACATCTGCATCCTGGGTAAGACGATAAGCTACATCTGACAGCAAGGCCTCTAATCAGGAGGTTCTGAGGAGCATGGAAGCACCTCTGATTTGCTGGTGTTCCTAGGTCCACTCTGACCAGGATGGTAGCACCTGTAAGGTCCCAGCTATCGGCAAATACTTACCACCCAAACTGGGGTCAAAACACTATGAAAGCGTAAAAATAGTTTTTAATACCAGCAATGCATTTTTGAAAACGTTATTACCAGTTTTGGAAAATAAATTATTAGCAATACATTTTTGAAGGAAAGAATTATTACCAGCATTACATTTTTGCAAAAAAAATATTACCAGCAATAAAAATTTTGTCGGCATTAAATAATCCATTGAGTTTGATATGCCGTAAAACATACCAAGCCAAACCAATATATAGATAGATAGATAGATAGATAGATAGATAGATATAAACCAGCAATAAAAAATCTTGTCAGCATTAAATAATCCATTGTGGTTGATATGCCGTAAAACAAACCAAACCAAACCAATATATACTGAGATAGATAGATAGATAGATATTAACAGCAATAAAAATCTTGTCGGCATTAAATAATCCATTGAGGTTGATATGCCGTAAAACAAACCAAACCGATAGATATATAGATAGATAGATAGATAGATAAATAGATAGATAGATAGATAGATAGATAGAAAATATTACCAGCAATAAAAATCTTGACGGTATTAAATAATCCATTGAGGTTGATATGCCGCAAAACAAACCAAACCAAACTAAAACGAAAAAGGTAGGGAGGAAGTTGGGTTTCAAAAAGATAGGTATAGATACAGCACCCAGGTGGCTACTTGTGGTGGGGATTATCTCTGTACAAGGATGCTGTCAGCACATTCTTGATTCCAATAGAAAGGATGCATTGGGAAAATATAAATGGAGACTGCGATAAACGTATGGTGTCCTAACATCAACTTTGATGGAACTAAGGTGCCATTGTCCTAGATATGCTATTATTTAATAATAACGTCATACTTTATGGATATACTTAATATATAGAATCTGACTACTTTTTTTTTATTTTTCCAGATAACAATGAGTGCCTTAGTGAAAATGGCGGCTGTGAACAACTTTGTATTAATTCTGAAGGCTCGTATCAATGTGGCTGCAAGCCAGGGTTTGAGCTTCTTCCTGATAAGAGACAATGTCTTGGTAAGTAAAACTCTTATGTATAATTTATTCCCCAGAAAATGTGGCTCCATTTTGGAGCTTCATTGCAAAGGTTTTATCTTAACGAAGAGGCATTAATTAAGGTTCCTCTATTTGCCGAATCTCCTCCAACAAGTAAGATTTACTACCAAATTTGCTTTACTTGGGACTGGTTAGAGCATCTCAACATAATGCAATGGATAGTCTTGCTAGAACAATTAGGACTGAGTAGTGAGTTTGATCCTCACTATAAATCTATCTGTCTGTCTATCTTTCTTTCTAACTGTCTGTTCATATCTATCTATCTATCTATCTATCTATCTATCTATCTCTGTTCATATCTATTTATCTATCTCAGTCTGTTCATATCTATCTATCTATCTATCTATCTATCTATCTCAGTCTGTTCATATCTATCTATCTATCTATCTATCTATCTATTTCAGTCTGTTCATATCTATCTATCTATCCCTGTTCATATCTATCTATCTATATATCTATCTCTGTTCATATCTATTTATCTACCTATCTATCTCAGTCTGTTCATATCTATCTATCTATTTATCTCAGTTTATTCATATCTATCTATAGATCTCAGTCTGTTTATATCTATCTATCTATCTATCTATCTATCTATCTATCTATCTATCTATCTCAGTTTATTCATATCTATCTATAGATCTCAGTCTGTTTATATCTATCTATCTATCTATCTATCTATCTATCTATCTATCTCAGTTTGTTCATATCTATCTATCGACCTCAGTCTCTTCATATCTATCTATCTATCTATCTATCTCTCTCTCTATCTATCTATCTATCTATGTTCATATCTATTTATCTACCTATCTATCTCAGTCTGTTCATATCTATCTATCTATCTAATCTCTATCTATCTATCTATCTATCTATCTTAGTTTGTTCATATCTATCTATCTATTTCAGTCTGTTTATATCTATCTATCTCAGTCTGTTCATATCTATCTATCTATCTATCTATCGATCTATCTATCTATATATCTATCTATCTATCTCAGTCTGTTCATATCTATCTATCTATCTATCTATACATTTCAGTATAAACCTTTCACGCTCTCTTTTTATTCTTATATATTTCTGTTGATGTATTTTTGTAACTATATCACTTTTTCATATCTTGATTTTTTATTTATCTGTTTATCTGTCTAGCTGTTTCAGTCTGTTTTCTTCTATCTATATATGTATCTATTTTACTCTTTTCTTATCTGTCTAGCAGAGAAAAATTACAGCCAATTAGAAAAAGAAGCTCTAGCAATTATATTCGCTGTGAAGAAATTTAGTAAATTTATTCATGGAAATTTCACGAAGCAAACAGAAATATGGTTCAAACAAAGGTATATCTACTCATACAGGTAATAGACTACAACGCTGGGGTACCATCCTACTAAACTATGATATTACGATGGGGTACCAACCATCTGAAAAATTAGAACATGGCGATGGATTATTTAGATTAATACCTAAAAATGCAGAACCATTGGAGGAGACGGTCATTGCAGAACTAAAAAGCAAAATGGAAATAAAAAAACATGTTGTGCAGCGTCTTACGAGACTTACCCGTGACACTGGATTAAATAAAAGAGAAATCAGAAAATGACGTCTTTATTGCGTAAATAAAAAAGAGCAATGGAAAGAAAGTAACAAAGAATTAAATCAATACTTAAACACGTACTCGATATGCGCGGTGTAGTAATAAATGGTCAATAAGTTGTAATACCGTGTGTGTTACAGAAACGAATATTGAAGGATTTTTATTGTGAAATTCCCGGTATTTCAAGAATTAAATCCCTGATGTGAACTTTCGTATATGGAACCAGAATGGATCATAATATTGAAAGAATAGTGAAAAGTTGCAGAGGTTGTGTTCTAGCTGTAAAACTATCTATCACAAAGACAGAACCTTCGCCAAAGACAGACACGCCGTGGTCAAGACTGTATATAGATTTTGCAGGTCCTCAGGATATTATCTTGTGATAGTTTATAGTTTCGTAAAATGACTGGAAATTTATAAATGCAAAGATTCAACATCTTCAGTGACAGTGAATTTCTTGCATGAACTGTTTGCGAGATATGTCATACCGGATACCATAGTTTCTGATAACGCAACACAATTCACATGTAAAGAATTTCAAAACTGTTGTAAGGTGTTCTCCATTGAACGTGTTACAACCCCACCGTATCACTCAAGTTTTAACAGATAAACGGAATGATTTGTGGGAACGTTCAAAAGAGCGTTGAAGAAAGCAAACCTTCAGAAAGTAAATGGGGATGTTGCGGGGCCGATAAGGAATGTCAACCCCGCAAGTTTTTAACAAAGAAAGGTGTGACCATCTAAGACAATGAGGAACAAAGTCAGAGGTTTAGATTAACAAACGTCGGATATATTTGTCGATCTGGACAAATGTAGGTACAGGAATTGTTTGGCGTAGTTCGATCGGGAAGTCAGGGAGTGCCAGTTGAAGGATCGTTGTTAGGGTTCAAGGCGGCAGATCTGAGGCAGGCAGATGGAACAGCGGTATTCAAGGTCCCGTCGATCCCCAGATGTCTGCCCTTTTGTAAAGAGCGCGTCGGCGTTTAAGAAGAGAGAGGAACGGCGCAGACGGTGCTAGTGTAGCCTGTTCGTCCTTAGAATGACAGTCGGGGTCACCAGAGACCTCGAATACCGCTGTTCCATCTGCCTGCCTCAGAGCTGCCGCCTTGAACCCTAACAACGATCCTTCAACTGGCACTCCCTGACTTCACGATCGAACTACGCCAAACAATTCCTGTACCTACATTTGTCCAGATCGACAAATAAATCCGACGTTTGTTAATCTAAACCTCTGCTTTTGTTCCTCATTGTCTTAGATGGTCACACCTTTCTTTCGTTAAAAAACTTGGGGCGACATTCCTTATCGGCCCCGCAACAAGGATATATATATATATATATATATATATATATATATATATATATATATATATATATATATATATAAAGCATTAATGAAATTAATATTTCAGTGTTTAATAAGTTATTACCAAGTCGAAAAACACGAGTGGATAACTAAAACGGCGCCAAAAGATTCAAGGTCGGCGATAAAGTGTTTTTTCGGGCATATAAAGATGGCAAAGAAACATGGGAAGATGGTATCAGCAAGAATTGGATAAAATTAGTAAAGTGGAAAAGATTTGAACACAAAAGGCACCATAATCCTTTGAAAAAAGGTTCAGAATGAAATACCTAACACATTGGAAGAGCTGATAAAAAGACTATATATCTTCGAAGTGCCAATACGACAAGAAGTCATGGAACGAACAATGGCAAGTTCCAGAAAACGAAGGCTTACTGAAGAACTGGAAGTTGATCCGAGATGGAAACGCTATAAAGTCAAGGACTTTGGCGAACCTTCCAGAAAGAGGAGGGGGAGATACTAATAAACTTAAAATATTTATAAATGTATTAATCTCGAAAAGGAGAAGATTGTGAAGTAAATAGTACACCCCTGGCAACTATATGAACTAGTCCATTACTATAATTGCTCAGAGGTAGAACTAATAGCTGTTTCAAGCTAGGCAGATTACTTTAAGCATCAGCTTAAAGTCAAGATTAGGACGGAAAAGCGGCGGCTCACCTCATCAGAATTTAGCAAAAGGTGGGTGACTGTTGCGCGGTTGTGCCGAGTAAAAGGGGCTGACCTGGAGTGGCATTTTTATGCCGGGTAAGCATCAAATATTGTTTTCCTGGGTTGAACCTAGACAACCCCTCCCTGGATTTTAAGCTAATATAGGTTTTTGTATTTGATTCTTTAGTTTTTTCTTTTTTTCCAGGAAAATTAGCTAGGGTGTGTTTGCTCATTGGCCCTTTTATTTCTATCCCCCTTTTCCTTTTAGTTCAACTTCCCATCCCCCACTCGTTAGGTGGTCAGTGATGTCAGTTCTCTGGTGGATGCGGGGCGCCTTTCGTTTCGTGTGTGTTTTTTCGTATTTGCTGTTGTGCCTGTGTGAGTGCGTGTCTGTGTGAGTGCTTAGGATGGATGAATATTTATACATTATTATAATTCCGCATCGATTTCGTCCAGTTAACTGATATTTCTGCCACATTTAAAGTTTGTGGGGTTTTTTATTACTAACATAATTTTGTTTAGTTTTTGTAAATAAACTATTTTCATATTGTATATAAACATTTATAGAAAAACAATAGAATAACAACACTTACATGCGTAAGGCTCCCAGCTAGCGTCCAGCTGGCAGACAAAAATAAATGAGGTTGTAACTTAATACAAACCCCGCAAACTGACTGGAATCAAGCTGGTATTTATACAGAAATACCTCCACTCATGTACCAGCAGCCAATCACCGCCCAAGCAATTGTCTATCTCACTTGAGCTCAATGAGATGCTCCATGGCACCACAAATAGCTCTCTTTCTCAAGGTGGAGGAGTCTTTTCTCAGCTTGTTCCACAACTGAGTGTTTATCTTGACAACATGATTGTTCTACAACATTGGGGATTTTTAACCCCCCCCCTATAGACGACGATTTGTACATATGGGGACTATTTAGGATTTCATTGAGACAATGAGGTATTTTGGTGAATGAAGTAAGAAAGGTAAGTAAAATTGTGTTGTTTTGGTGCTAGGATTATTGTTTGTGTGTTTGGGTCAGTGGTTGTGGCTAGCTAAGTTTTAAATTAAGACAGATGATGACCGTCTTTCCCCCACCCCACTTCTTTAGGCCTTGTGCCACATTTTCTGTGTATTGCCGCAGAAATAAATATTTTGAAGCCAGGCAGATCGCTGCCAGGCTTGCGACAGTCAGGTCGAACTCTCTGCCTTTGGGTAGAGAGGGGCCCAGATGAGGTTATGCCTACAGACAGAGTCTCGTCTGGGGAGATAAACAAACCCGACCCTGTGTATGCGAGGTCTACGGGGAATTTTTGCCCAAGCTTACGGCGTAGGATTCGCCCCACATAAAAATCGGCCATGTGCTACATCCTGCCTAGTAAGAAGGTTGGTAAATACCATCTGCTTCAAGCCAGTCTGTTCACTACCAGGCTCTCTGCTGACTTGTCGAACTCTCTGCCTTCAGGTAGAGAGGAACCCAGACGAGGCTATGCCTTGTGGATACCAGCCGTTTCGAGTCAGGCACTCCGCTGCTTGGCTCCGATTGTCAAACTCTCTGTCTTCGAGCAGAGGGAGACTCAGTCGGGGCTACCTGTCTGCGACCAGAAACTCAGCTGAGAAAAACAATGTACCCGAGCTCACTTTTACGGGTCCAGGGTAAATTTTGACCAGTGGTCGGAGTGGAAACGCTCAGGTTCCCCACAATAATCATGACCTTGCGTCGCATCTCATCTCAGTGGGGTTACTCGAGCCGTTTGGAGTTAGTCTTCAGACTAACTATACAGGCGCCATGGCAAGTAGCAATGCAGTACGTATAGAAAATGCTTATACGAAGTACGTTATATAAAGTAAGAGTGTGTTATATCAATAGCCATATAATAGTGGCGTTATAATAGTTACATAGAGCAATAAAGGACAGGAAGTTGTGGAGGGCCATGATCACCTAATTAATGAGTTTGTGTGAATGGATGGCAGAACAAGAACAAACACAAAAGTTACTTAGAACAAAAAAGATAAGAAGTTGTGGAGAGCCATAACCTCCGAATCCACTTAATGCATCGATCTGATAGAGGAACTATATCGGTCTACAAAATCTTGTCTGGCAAAGATTTTATCAATACGGGAATATTTCAGACTTCGTCAGAAGTGTGATAGGAGAGAGCTCCAGTTAAGTTAATTTCATCCTAGACTATGCTAAGCGCATTTACTAACACAGATGTGATGAGCCGAGCACTGTCCATTTAAACATACCATACCGCATCCCAAACGAGTCTACCAATAGAAGACAACAACCCTGCTTTCTCTCTCCCGTGGTGAATGAACTTATGCTGATGTCATAGTTGCTATGAGAATGATGTTGGACAAAAAAAATCAGGATCTTTTATCAAGTATTCCAAGAAATGAAACTTATGATAAACCTTTCCAAAACAGAAAGTATATCTGGAATTGGAAAGTGAATGATGGCACCTACCCTGAATCCATCATAAAAATACGGGATGAGGAATTGCTAAATACCAAACACTTAAGGAAACCGCCATTGATACTGGAAATAGCGAGAAAATCTATTGGACTTATGAACTCTGTTTTCCTGAAAAAGTCTTTTAAGAGAAAGATTTTATAATTTACTACCAACAAAAGAACTGGCTGCTCAGTCAATGAATACTAAATATTTCATTGTAGAGAAACGACTAATATTACCATTACCATTGGAACTGCGGAGAACAGATATTACACTTTGATCTTAGTACGATTGCCAGGGAATGAAGAAAAGCTAAATGTTTACTTATAGGGAAACGGCTAATATTAGGATTGCTTACCAATTTACTAATATTACCATTACCATTAGAGCCGAGAACAATTGATACTACACTTTGATCCCTGCATGATTGCTAGGGAATGAAGAAAAGCAAAACTCGAGCAATACTGCCTGCACGGCCAATGAATGCCAAATGTTTCTTTGTAGGGAAACCGTTAATATTACCATTGCCATTATAGCCGAGAAGAACAGATACTACACTTTGATCCTAGCTCGATTGCCAGGATGTGAAGATAAGCATAACTCGAGCAATACTGGCTGCTCGGTCAATGAATGCCAAGTGTTTCCTTATAGGGAAACGGCTAATATTTTACTTTAGATGACATAAAAGAACTGAATGTATTTTAGTGCAAAAGGGACGAGTATAGAAGCAACTGTTTCTTTGAACACAAAAAACAGGAAGTTGAGAAAACTAATGATCGCTCACATCCTGACGGAACACAGTTTAAAAGGATCCAATGTATATAGCAGTTAACTAACAGTGGTTTATTATTCAAGTAAAAACTGTGTACAGATCTCCGCAGATTAGAGACAAAAACAGTTTGTATAACAAAGGAAAAACATGTAAACATTGTTCATTATCCCGTGACTAGGTGTGGTCTCTAGGGTTGTTACGCAGCTGAGCACCTGGCGATTCACTTGACATGTCTTGGACAATCATTCGTTCATGCGTTGCATGCCTTGGGTAAGAAAACAGGGTGGAATTCAACCCTCGCCAGGCCAGACCTCGAACCTGATGGCACCTATCCTGAATCCATCTTAAAAATTCAGGACGTGAAATTAGTAAATACTAAACACTTCAAAGAGCTCGATGAATAATTTATAAGAAGTTTAGTAATGTAGGAGGTAAGGAAATTGAATATAAAATAGTAATAGTTTCGCCCAATACCGCAAGTTCCTACATAACCAAAAGATCAACATGAATATTTTAGGTTTAGTTCTTAAGAAGGACATTTTTCTTGACTTTTTCTATTTTGTGTGTGTGTATGAGAGAAAGAGAGAGAGAGAGGAGAGAAAGGGGAGAGGGAGAGAGAGAAACTGAGAGAGAGATGAACAAAAAGAAAGAGAAAAACAGAAAGAGAGTGAAAAAAGCAGAGAGAGAGAGAAACGGAGAAAGAGAGAAATGAAAAAAGAGAGAAGTATTGAATGTGTGCGAGAAAAAGAAGCAGCGACAAAGAGAGGGGAAGAATTAGAGAAACACACAGAGAGAGAGAGAGAGAGAGAGAAAGAACATGAAACAGAGAGAGAAAAGGAAACAGAGAGAAAAAGAGATAGATAGAGACAGAGAGGCCAAAAGAAAAACAGCAATAGACAGAGAGAAACAGTGAGAAAGACGGAGAAAGAGAAGAGAGAGAGAA